ACTGGCCACTGGATTCTGCCCTCTTCCTAAATGAGAGATACGCTGACCGCATACTGAGAGACAAACAGATAGAGAAATAAGATTCCATTGGGAAAAGACTTGGACACTTAAGAGGATTAAGTTTCATTCAATATCTCCAAAGTATATCAAACATTTCTATGAGGTTAGCTATGTGATCTGAAGTGACATGCGATTTGACCAACATGTCATCGACATAGACCTCCATTGATTTCCCGATCTACTCTAAAAATATACGGTTAACCAAACGCTGGTAGGTTGCCCCAACGTTCTTCAGACCAAAAGGCATGACTTTGTAACAGTACAATCCTTGATTTGTAATAAATAAGGTATGCTTCTCATCGGGCATGTACATCGGGATCTGATTATACCTCGAGTAGGCATCCATGAAGCCTAACAGCTTGTGCCTGGAAATGGCATCAACGAGCTGATCAATTCTAGGTAAAGGGAAACTCTCCTTCACAAGCTTTGTTGAGATCCGTGAAATCAACACATGTTCACCACTTGCCATTGGGTTTCTTCACCAAAACAGATTGGTGACCCAACTTGAGTAATGAGACACTCGAATGAACCCAATTGAGAGGAGCTTATCCACCTCAACCTTTAGAGCAACATAATGCTTTGGGTCTATGGCTCTTCTTTTCTAGCGAACTAGCCTGACCTTACTATCGATATTGAGGGCATGACATATTACATCCGGGCATGACATATTACATTCGGGCTGATCTCGACCATATCAGCATGAGTTCATGCAAAAACATCTATATTTTGCCTAAGGAAACTCTTTAAATCAGTAGTGAGCTAAGGGCTGAGAGTGCTTCCGATTCTCAACACATGAGTCGACTTATTCTGGTTGACTGATACATTAGATAGAGTAGCAACCGGCCCGTTATGGGAATACTCTTTTTGAACACGAGGATATATGTTGTCTTTCCACTGGATCTGACTGTGGTTCGATCCTACTAATCATTATAGCTTGCTCGGGAATGCCCACTGACTTCCCTTTCCCTTTGCATGCCATCTACATTGCTCTTACATAGTAGTCGTGAGATTCACATTGAGACCCCTTGACTTTCCTACATCCTGTCGGAGTGAGAAATTTCATCTTCAGATGATAGATGGAGGTGACAGCTTTAAAGTTCAAGAGTAGAGATCGTCCCAATATGCCATTGAAAGTGGATGAACAATCTATTATAAGAAATTCTATCATCTTGGTCAATTCGTGGGTCTCACCCAAAGTGACGGGAATTGTAATCATTCTCTTGGGAATCAAATGATCCCTAGTAAAGCCATAGAGTGGGATAGAGGCGGGCTTCAGATCTGCCTCTTTTAACTACATTTCCTCGAATGCTCGCTGAAATAGGATGTTCACGACGCTCCCATTATCCATAAACATTTTGTGGACCTCGCACCGACCTATTTCAACTGCGATGACTAGTGCATCCTCAGGAGGGTGATGCAATCGCATTACATCTTTCTCTGAGAAGGTAATCTCCTCCTCTCTGCACACTTTAGCAGGTCATGACGTCGTGTTTAATACACTCACGAGATCATGATGAGCTTCTTGAGCGTACTTCTCCTGAGCACCTCGAGAATTCCCCGCAATGTGTGGTCCTCCAAATGTAATCCCCATGAAATAGAGACCCTTGCGACCACGACGCTTCTTCCTATCATCCTCCTGATCCTTCTCCCGAATGAAAGTTAGACCATTAACATACTTCTTAAAGTGCCCATTTTTAATGAGGTCTTCAATAGCATGCTTAAAAGCTCGGCATTCATCGTTATGATGCTCATAATCCTAATGATAACGACAATACTTCTTATTGTTTCTTATAGAAGATGGATTTTTCATGGGCTCTGGCTCTTCGAGCATATTAGCTTCTTCTTATTTATCTAGAATAGCTGATACCGATGCATTCAATGGAGTATATTGATTCTTGTCATGATCACGATGAGGGACTTGGGCATAAGATTTCTTAGGCTTAAACCGTTGTTTCTTTCCCTTTCTCTAATAGTCATTAGCCCACTTGCGATTAGGCCTTATACTACTCTATCCCCGGTTTTCCTCCCTCCGATGGGAGCGCTGGTTAAAGGACTGGGGTCGTGGTGATTCAAAGCAGCTACGAAATTTTCAATTCTGAGATATTTCTCAGTGAGGTTGGAGAAGCAAGTAAGGGAAGTATTGTCCTCAGATTGCAGTTTCTTCCACTGGTCGATTTGCAGGCAAACTCCTGCAATCATAAGAGTTTGAACTTAATCTTCGGGTGTATTAGCCACTTTATTTAGCTCCTTATGGAACCTATCAATGTAGGGCTGAAGGGATTCATTCCTCTCCTATTGTATGTTGTTGAGATAACTCAACGACATTGAGAACTTCCTATTAGCCTGGAAGTGTCTAAAAAATAATAAACTCATCTGCTGCCATGAGTTGATAGATCTTGGCAGAAACTATCTAAACCAGCACTTAGCATAGGCAGTCGAAGTCACTTCTAAGCAATGACATTTCATCAAGTTGGAAACTTGGTCAAGCTCCATGAGGTCGTTAAACTCATAGAGATGATCATGCGGATCAGAATTCCCATCAAATGCTCGTATATTGGGCATTCTAAATCTTGACAGGAGAAGAGCAGTAAAAACTGCTAGAGAAAAGGGAAAGGCCTCAGTGACCTGCCCTCGCTCATTCTGTTGAGCTCTAAGTTGATTTAGAGCTTGCTGTAACTCCTCAATTTGAGGAAGCGGAGCCACATGGGGATCACTTTCTATAATGTGGGTTCGCTCCCCACGAGTGCGATTAAGGAAAGACCGCAGATCGCACTCTTCCACTCCTCGACTGGAGCCTTTGGCATACCTTGGCACATGTTGGCTGGAGCCATGTGAAGGCACTGAATGGCTTGGGGAGTTATCGCGACCTGCGTATGATGGGTCTTTCCCTCGCGATAATTGTTGAAACCATCATTCCAAAGATGATGGGAATCTCTATGCCGTGCACTCTTATGGGGGTGCCCATGCGATATGGTATGAGATGACTCATGTTGTGGCATACCGCCAAGTCGCAAAGCTATAGGTATTCTGCATGTTTCACGATCGGTATACACTGGCCCCTTTGAGCCCTTTGGCCTATTGTCAACCACCTGCTTTCTCTTATTCTTAGCCAATTCTTTTTGTCTTGGGTCAACGTGGTAGCACTTGGACGACTCAAAGCTTGCTTGAACTCTAATTAGTTCTTGCTAATGTAAGCTTACGTTAGCCTTGATTTTTGAGGCATAACAGAATGGAACGCTAATATCTTTATAGTTGACAGACACTTAGTAAAAACTTATGGACCTCTTTGATTCTTTCACTAAATATCAAGGGCATTCAATAAATTTGAGATTTGGTTAAAATTGAAGATTGCCTTGCCTTTTATATCAATGATTATCTTAACGTTGAATTAAGTACTCTTTTATTATTATTGTTGTTGTTATTTTAAATATAGATTTAATCAATTCATCATCATAATTTTAAAGATAAATCCGATATATTAAATACAAAATTAATATGTTTATACTATAAATTTCATGAGATATGAATTACTATATAGAGAGATTATTTTCATGATATTTTTAATTAATTATTGATTCACCAAATGCCTATTAAGATTCCTGTTGAGATTTGAGATTCCATTTGAAATTGCAATCGTAATTAATCGACAAAATAATACTTTTTGTTTATCCATAAAAAAAAAAAAAAAAAAAAATGTGTCTTTTAAAACCATAATCTTTCCTTGATATCTAACACAATGCGTGGAAGAATAGTCGAACAACCAGTAGTGGATCCAGGAATTTTTTTTAGGGTAGGCCAAAATAAAAATTTATTATACATTACTATTTTTGTCCATTAATATTTTTTTTAGGGTGTGCCAAAATATATAAATTTACATATTAATATTAAAAAAAAAAAATTTGAGGGTGAGCCAAAAGTGGCTGGATCCGCCACTGCGAACAACCATAATATGTGAACAAAATAAAAAGCATTAGCCAATTCTTAGAAGTATTCTTATAATTTTTTTTTTTTTGGGTACGGTAATTGGTGCCCACCTCTTGCCATTGCTACAACTTGAACTCAAAGAGTCAAGACCACTTAGTCTTTTTAACTCCTCAATCCATCCTTCACTTTAAATATTCTTATAATTTATGTACAAAGTTTATTACTCTTGTAGTGCACTTTTAAAGGTATTTAAAATAAATCTTGATCAATAAATAAATTATGTTTATTTAATAAATCGATTATTTTTGTATATTCTTAAACAGTAAAATAACAAATAAATTAATTGCTTACTAATTACTAATCCTTATGTCTGGCTTAAGAGTAAAAAGGAAAGGAGGGTTCTTTTATTAAATAAATGGAAAAAGTGATGCCATTATGTTAATTAAAAAATAGGAAGGTGGAAAAGTTAAGAAGATCCAACCAAAGAAATGATTAAAATTTGTAAACATTGAGTTGAGATATTAAGAAATTTGTTTTTTATGTGTAAAATAATGAATGTTTAGTACATTTCCATAATGGCTTGTTGATTGGAAAGCATGGAGAATCGAAATATAGATTGAACTAAAAATGGTCAAGACAAGCACGATAAACAGCTATAATTTGTCGCCACACACGTGTTGTAACAGTAACAGACAAGCGTGGCGTGGGGTAGCCATCAACTAATAATTCCAACGCGGTTGCATTAGGATCCGTCCATATGTCAGTTATCACCACAATTTTCACTATCCATCTAATGGAGGCTTTTAATTCTTCAAATAATATTAAACTAAAAGGTAGGAAGGAAATTTGATAGTATTTATTAACTCATAATGGTGTAAATTTTAAGGATTCATTACTGATAAAAAGATATGTGTTATTACATTATAACTCAGTGGTTCTATTTTTAACCCCTCACATAATAAGCCGGCCCAGTGGACTGGAATATGCGAAGTAACGGCCCCAGGATTTCTGTCCCAAAGCCATGAGAGGCCTAGCCATTATTGGGTCAACCTAATGAAAAAGAATTCACCATTTAAGAATGAAAAAAGAATTCAGTATTGAAGGTACAGACAATAAACCATGAGAGACATATATGGTTGAGCACTTGAGGTAAATATGAGTATGGTGAGGATCTTTTTCCAATTCAAACAGACAATAAACCTGTTAGAAGCCATATCTTTAAATAGAGAAGGAAATCATTGCAGAAAACCAAACTATGAACTCAAAAATAAATAGATCAAGATGAAGAAACAGGGGAAGCATTATCGAAAGTAGTTCCCACATGCTGAATTACGAACCCATAGATCTTTCTCTTTAACTGCTCAATCTTTGCAATGAGTATATCATCCTTGCTTGAAACCTTATGGTCCAACCATTCATTCACACGCTTCAACTGCGACAGAACTGTTGCAATAGAACCACAATCCATAGGAAGAGTTACACTTCCATTAATTGCACACTCTCCAAATACCCGGAAACCAGCATCGAGCAACTCCTCAATAAACCGTACAAACCACACTTGCATCTCAGACTGCAAATTCCTTGCAAGCTGCACAGTTTCTTTCATTCCATGACCTCTTGTCCATGTCTCAACGCTAGAATGGGTGGCTGTTGTTGTACAACTACCCTTTAGTTGGTGTTGTGCATTCAGAGATTTTCGTTTCGACAAACTTTTCTGCAGAGTTGAAGGAGCTTCGTTGTTTTGGGTGGTTAGAAGAGAGACAATCTCAAGATCAGTGGCCAATGCAGCTTCAACCCAAAGAGAAGTGGATTTTGACTGCTCAGTCGAGATATTATCACGATTCGTGAAAGAAATATGATTAGCCCCAACAGATTCAGCAATTCCACTATATTTTACGACGTCATTGTAGATTGAAAAGAATCTATCGATTGTGAGCAAAGGATTTCCAGACTTTGATGTAGAAGAGAGTTGGGAGAACATGCTGAAATAGATAAAAGCAGTAAATTTACACCAAACCAATTACACATGTTTATTATAAAAATTTACTCAGCAAAAGGACTCAGGAACACAGAATACTTAAAACAAATTATAAAAATGATATCTATATATCATTTAGATTACTCATTGCATCAAAACGGGAGGCAGGGATTATGATTACCTTAAACACCTTACAAGAGACTCGGTAGCAATGGCCTCCTCTAAAGCTTCAGCCGCTGCTTTAGCAGCAAGAACTTTCCTTTGCATAGCCTCCTACAGTCAATCAACAAGTAAAAAGATCAAATTTAGTCTTCAAAATAAAGTGATTAAACGGGGAGAGGATGCCTATAATTCGTCAATAGCCAAGCCTCATTTTAGTCCTTAGACTGCAAATTCTAATTTCTGCCAAGTGAACTTAATTCCATACCTTTCCCAGTCGTGCGAGATCAGAGGAGACTGAATCCAGTGGAACACTACCATCAGTCCATTTTTTTTCATGAACTGTAATTCCTAGAGCTCCATAACTCAAACTGGTTTCTGGCGAACTTGGTTTAGTGTCCTTCTTGGTTGAAGAATCATCACTGACCGACTTTCGACTAACATCACTTAGACGTCTAGAAATAGCAGCCTGATAACCAGCAGAGAATATTAAAAATCTATATCAAAAACAAATATCTTCTTAGCAACTAATTAGTAGAGCATTACCTGAGTTCGCAAAATGGATTGCAGATCTGGCTTATTATTCTTTACAGCGGCCTTTTCTTTCTGCTCTCCGGAACCCGGCACAAGAGGTGACTCATCCCAACTCTTTCTACCATTCTTGACCTCTGAAAGTTTGGAAATCCCGGCAACAATCGTTGCCATCTTCTTCTTCCCACCAGAATCCGCAACAACAGGTGAAAACTTCACTCCTGACAACCTTCTCCCAGGAGAGAGCGAAGCTCTCCGAGGATTTGGTGAAGCCTGCTTTCTTGCATTTGGCGAAGGCTGCCGGTACCTTGACGGAACTATTATAGCTGGCTCCCTCGCCGTCTTCCGATTATCCTCTTTAGCAGCAACTAGGCTAGGCACAACACATTTTGATGGCACCGGAGATGCAGATCTCTTCACTTTGCCAGCCGGAGATGGATCTCTCTCAACCACTGCCACATTCTTCTTTCCAACCGATCCTGATCGCTTTGCTGTGGCCGGAGATGAAAACCTCTGTGGTGGCTTATCTAAAACTGGCTTGCTTTCATCTGATTTCGGAATTGTGACGTTGTCTCTGGGTGCAAGAGCTTGCCTCGTTTTAATTTTTTCAATTTTAGTATCTACTTTGGATTCATTGTTTTCTTTTCGATCGGACTTCTTGTTGGACAAGTAAACCGCAATTGGATCTACGGAGTACTCCGAATCAGACACTGGTTGAATAACAAACTCTCTTTTTGAAGAAGAAATGCGCGCAATAAGAGGTTCAGGAGTGCCTAAGAATGTGTGGCGGCCTGCGATTGGACGAATTCCGTTGACACGAGGGACGGGAGAGTCGAACTCAAAGCGGTCAACGTGAACGAACTGGCCAAGCTGGAGGCGGTTGGTGAGGATGAGTTCGGTGTCGTGGTCCGAGAGGGAGACATAGGTCGAGTTGAGGGAGTCGGAGAGCTGCACGTAGAAGCCGTGGTTGGGCCAGAGGTCGGAGCCGGCGAGACCAGGTACAATGCCGATGATTTGGAGGAGAGCGGAGCGGTGGTCCCCGGTGACACGGGTCGTTGAGTTCATGGATTGGAGGAGTTTTAGAAGGATTCCTGGAGTGAGAGAGGCCATTGGGGTTGTGTTTGTGAGCGTGAGTGTGAGTGTGAGTGTGAGTGCGAGACAAACTCTGAAGATGAGACCGATGAGTGTTGCAGGGTGGGGAAGTAAAGACGGGGAGCATCTATGGCTGATTTGGCCGTTATGAGATTTCAAATTCAAATGCCCGCTAATTTTCCTTCTTTCAAATTCATGTGGGGCCAAACTGGGTGTAACGGATTAATCAAAACCAGGTGATACGCTAGAGTAGTACCGTAACGGCGTAACTACCGTTACGTATTTGGAGATTGGGTAGAAAGACTTTGAAATTGTAGTCCTCGTAGCTTTTTTTTTTTTTTTTTTGAATTTTCTTTTTGGCTTATTTTTTTCCTTAAATTTTGGGGTTCCGACACATAGAGAATGGTACTGTCAAATTATCCTTGACAAATAAAATAATAAATTACTTTTTAACCCCCAGATTAATATAATTAAATAACTATCTTACTTTCAAATTTATTTCAATAACACCATCTTCTTCAACCTCCGCTTCTTCGTGGCCACCCGTGACCTCCTCTGCTGCACGATTGCCGTCATTGGAACATCCTGACACCACCAAACACATCCCCTTACATCCCTCATCAAAACCCCTATCATCTCCACCTCTTTCCACCACCAAATTGTTGGCGCCACTCATTATGGAATCGCATGGTTTTGTCAATTTCTAGTTGATTCTGACAACAAAAACCTACCCTAACACCACCTTTTGATCCACCGGTGTCCCCTCTCTAAAACCCCCACCACCCCAAGCTGCGATTGCCTGTTGGTAGCTGCCACCACTCACCCAACGACTTGCATGACAATTGAAAATGGGTTTTAAATTGGAGTTTGCTTTGAAGCTTGGTTGAAGGGAAATTGATTGTTTATGGAAGTGTTTTCTTGTGATTGATTGATTGTATTTTTTTCTAGCCGTTTTCCCTATCGCCAACCACCAAAACCACCTGCCTTTGGACTACACACACCACTTACTCGACCCTTTGTCCCTATCATCTCCACCCCTTTACACCACCAAATTGTTGGCGTCGCTCACTGTGGAATCACATGGTTCTTTTTAATTTCTGGCTGATTCCGACAACAAAAACCTACCCTCACACCAACTTTTGATCCACCGACATCCCCTCTCTAAAAGCCCCATCACCCCAAGTTGTGATTGCCCGTTGGTAGCCGTCACCACTCCCCCAACGACGTGCACGACAATTGAAAATGGGTTTTAAATTGGAGTTTGATTTGAAGCTTGGTTGAAGGGAAATTGATTTTTTATTGAAATGGTTTCTTATTATTCATTGATTGTAATTTTTTCTAGCCGCTTTCCCTATCGTCGGCCACTAAAACCACTTGCCTTTGGACTACACCCACCACCTACTCAATCCTTTGCCCCAACCAACACCCAAGCACATCTCCCCCTGTGCGCTACTCTCGTGCACATCTCCAGTGACTGTGCACAACATTGCACACACAAGCTCGTGCGAAAGCCAAATCTGACCACCGCGAGGGCCAAGAAGCAACCATTTGGTTGCTGCTTTTGGCCCACACAAAGGCCAAATCTAACCGTCGTGAGAGAGATTTTAGAGAGAGTGGTTGTGAGAGAAATTTTAGATGTGGAGGGTTATTTTGAAATTTTATTTTCATTTTAGATTTAATACAGTACAAATGACCACTTAACCCTTTAACTGTTACATTAAACAATTTTTTGTTAATTTAAGGGTAGAAATTTGGAATTTATGAAATCAAGGGTAGAAATCGAACTTCACTATTAAAATGTTTCACTTGAGCAATCAAATTCATTGTTGAAAGTAAATCATTTGCATCCCGATTTTGGTGTAAGACTGTACGCACTGTTGGGCTAACATATCCAAAACAAGCAGCCGAGGGAGGTGAATTTGTTCAAGTGTAGGCTGATTTGCCGCCAGGAATCGCACCTTAGTTTTGTGTTCTTATTGCTGTGCCGTGAAAGAAAGAGCTACTTTTGCATCCATAATCAAACCAACCAGATGATTCTCTTCCCCATCATCAAACTCAGTTGTGAGATTATAATCCATTTCACCATCGGTAAAAATTGACAAAAAGCATTATGTCTGGTCATAGAAACTAAAAACAAATACAAACTCTCAGAAAGTATGAAAATTAACCTATTGTCATGGACAGAACACCCTTTTGGCGTACTAAGAGACTATGAGAATCCTCCAATTTAAATTTTAAAATGCTTGAGTAATTCATAGAAAGGAAATGTATGGCTACCGTGGTGTAAAAAATTCAGACATTTGATCAATTTTTCATCATAAGTGAACATGGAGAACACGGGGGAGGAAAGTTAAAGCTTTGTTATTTTCTTTATTTTCTATTTTCTCATATACATTTACACCACAAAAAATAAGAAAATCATGAGGAACACAACAAGTACAAAAATATCTTGATCATGAGCCAACGGTTGGATGATATACCGTTAAGGTACCTGGCCAGTTGGTTCTGCGCTCCTTCCACATTTGATAGTGTATCGTCCATGTTCTCATCAATGCTGCCAGAAACAGATGATTCAAGTAATGACTATAAATATGATAAATGGTAATAGTCATCTTTATCCCTTTAAAGTTCAGTAAATGTAACCCTAAGAGTTGAGGTCATCGATAAAAGCTCTTGATTAAGTGATTCGTTTTAGAAGTCCAAGAACATATAGGGCAGGTCACTGGATTTCTGGGTACGAAAAAAGGAAAAACAAAAACAAAAAAACAGTCAAAGGTTACGCCATTCTATTGACTTGTTTCTCAGTATGAAGTTGAATTAACTCCTATCCAGTGCGTCCACTTCCTTTGGCATGCAGATGTCAGCAATTACATAATTCATCATAAAATGACATTATTTAATCAGCCAAAATTTCAGTACATGTGAATTGCTGAGGTGCCTTTCTTTCAGCAAAACAGTAACCACAGCTTAATGATTTGGAAACTGTTTCCATCTAGCAAGGATCCAAATCTGCAAACTTATAGTTTCACGTTATTCTCTTCGATAGAAACACACTGTAGAAGCAGGAGAGCTGCTCATATGTGTCCTTGTACTGGTAATAGATAATATGTATCCAGCCACATACACAAGTTTCTTATGATCATTAAATCCATAATAATGAACAAACCTGATTGCAATCTCTCCTTGCCGTGATACAATGCTTGCCAGTTGTGTAAAAATGTTACACAGTTCATGGATAGTTGATTCCACATTATGAAGGGCTTCAGCTCTACTCTGCATGTAGCTGTCTTGTAGTGGAGCCGCCAACTACTGCTATTATTGATGATGATGATGCTGCAATAATGGCTAAGATTCCCCATCTGCTGGTTTGCTGCAAATTAGAAACAAGAAATTATTAGTGGGAAAGGGAATGCAGGGATCATGTTCCATTTCAATCCCCACCCAAGAAATGAAAGCCAAGAACCAAAATGCATATGTATTTTCTTATTCCTTAAAATGTGGATAGAAATGGGCAACACTCAAAACACTAAAATAGAGTTCTCATCCCCAGAGATAAAGAAAATCCTGGATAAAGGTAATTTCAACCCTCCAAGTACAACCTTTCACTTTATAGAGTTTATGGACTTGTTATGAACTTCAAAAATTTTATAAAAAGAAAGAAAAAAAAAATTAATTAAAAAAATAAAGCTTAAAAAATTATTGGAGACAAAAGATTCCAATCCTAAATTCAGAGTTCCAGAGGCTTTTCTTTCACAAAGACAACAGATGGACCACACATCTGCCCAAAAGATCACATCATTTAACTAAATGCCTAATTTAAAACAGTTCGAAGGAGTTGTGATTTTCACCTGGGAAATAATTGGGATGACGATACAGAACCATTAGCCCACGGAGGAGGAGGAGGTGTTGTTGATGCCTCAGCAGCAGAACTAGAAGCCAGAGGACGCTGGCGAATAAAAGGATTTGTAGACTCTTTTGAAGCAGTAGAAGAAAACAATTGCCTTCTGTTCTCATGGACCTTCAGGTTCTGCATGTTATGTACATAAAAAAGACAATGCTTAGACGCATGAAACTGACAAATAATAAAAGCTTACGAACCCTTTCAAGTGACCTAATTGTACATCTAATCCGCATGGTGGGGACTTCTTTAAACTCCTTCATTGTACCCATCAAGCGGTTCTTTAGGTTATCCACAACTGTGGTTGAATGGGTTGTTGTGTCACTTGAGATATTCCCACTTTCATTTTGGGAGTTGCAAAGAAATTGGAGGTCTACTGAAGCTGAATTGAGTGCACTGATATCTTGTTTTACCAGAGCTGTCAGTTCTTGGATCTCCAGAGTTGGATCATCAAACACTGATGTTCTCTTTGCCACTGGTGAGAAAGCAAGGCAAACACGTTAATACATGTTGCCCCTCAATAACAAGTACAGTTATTATTATTATTATTATTATTATTATTATTATTATTTTGATGACAAATTAGAGCCAAATTGCAGCTGATTGAGATTTTCAGCAATGTCAACGTTAAGCTCCTGATGCATGTATCTGGTACTCTAATTCGACTTTATGTCCGGCCAAAATACAACAGAGGAATCATATTCACACCACACATCCAAGCACAAAAAACAAAAAAAAAACAAAAAAACTTTAATGTTTATCAAACGAAAAAAACTCTCAAATTGAAGCATTTTCAGCAATAAATTGAAATAGAAATATAATCTAATACCAACTTTTATACTGTTTTACATACACAAATCATATATAAATTAGAAATATGACAATGTGAAAATTATATACGTAAGTATGATCAATATTCCTAATAAGTTCACTAATAAACTAGCCAGGAAAATTATCACATGAAGTAACTAGCTGTACCTTCAAACTTTGATTTACTCACCTAATGATTATTGCTGGTAAATCATTGACAGACATCACAACTTCCACCTTCACCAAGTTTCACTAAAACTAATTAACAGCACCAAATTGCCATTATAATAAACTAGTACCACCTCCTCTTGCCGAGATGCAGCCACAACCATATATCACTGCACCAGCAACTTATAGACTACAATCAAAATAGCAACCACATTCCACATCCATATCA